AATCTCTCCTTTAGATCAATAGCCCCGACTTTTTTTTTTGCTCTGCAATTTTTTATGTTTATCCTCCATTTGGTTCAAAGTACAATTATCAGAAAAAAAACCTTGACGTCCCTCAGTTTTTACAGTATCCTACGCTAACAATCAATGATTTTGTTTATGGCGCATATAAAACAAGCAAAGCCTGTTGTCCAATGTACATTAACTGATTCAAATAATAACATACGTAACGCTCTATTAGGTTGGAAAGTAAAGAATGTCGCTTTCTATCCTTGTCATGGCATCGCAACAAGGCAAACCCCAAAGCAGTGGCGTACCGAGGGGGGGGGGGCGGGGGCGAAATTTTTGAAAGTTACTTACATGGGTTATAAAAATGTGCAAATGACTTGTTTATTTTTGTAAACAATTAAAACGGGGTTGGGGCCCACAAAAATTTTGAGAAGCCCCCCTAAAAATTTTTTCGGAGTGCGTGGCTAACGGTACGCACCTTCATCTGTAAAAAAATTTTTGCCGCGCCCCTCCCCCCCCCCCCCCCGAAGCGGAATCCTGGGTACGCCACTGCTTCAAAGGTATATGAGGTACCACACGATAGAGCAAAGCAAGCTCCACAGAACGACATTACAGCTTTTGCACCAAATTATATCCTATGAAGTTCGAAGATGGAATCTAAAACGTTTCAAACGATCGAGAAATCAAAAAAAAATCGCATCTCTGTTCAAAAAATCTCTACGGTTCCCCAACTTTTGCTCACGAACATACATCCCCCCTTAAACATTCATATGCGCTTGCTGTAATTTTTCCTTAACTAGACTCGAAAAATTGAAAATCTTCATGCTTCTACCAAAGCGATGCTGGGCTGTTTTCACTTAGGTAATTTTATACTGCTGGACCTGGGAAGACAGACGCAATTTTCAACCTTTTACAAGAGCTAAACCTCGAGAAATATCGACTTTAATCTAAAGAACAAGAAAAAAGCTCAATTCAATGTTTCTCAAGAACTAGATTTTGTAGAGGGCTAAAATCTGCGGTTGTACTTCCCAAGTCAAGTAGTATAGAATTACTTACGCGCGAACAACTCAGCATTACTTGGCAGAAACGTGAAAATTTTCAATGTCTAGCCAAAAAAGACTACACAACTGCGCACATGGATGTTTGATAAGGGATGTATGTTCGTGAGCAAGTTGGGGGTATGTGAAAACTTTTTGAACGGAGATGCAGATTTTTTGATTTTTTGATCATTTGAAATTTCTAGATGCCGTCTCAAAACTTCACATGTTGAACATTGCTGCAAAAGCAGTAACGCCATGTGGATCTTGCTTTGCTCTATCTTATGGTACCCCATACACGATTTTGGGGGTTGCCTTGTTGTGATGCCATGACATAGAAGTAAAAAGCGACATTCTTTTCTTTTCAATATAATAATTAGTCAGAGCCGTCTGTAGCATGGGACCATGTCTGTTCCCTACAAATTTTCTGCATTTCTAACTGGCAAGTTAGCGTGCTTTGTGCGCTGTAGCGCAGTGCAAACCTTTGACGGTGCGGATCCAAATCCAAGATCCATATTCGGAACTGATCCCTAATACCGTATAAGTCACACAAAAACCACACGTACAGTCAGTGTCAATCACGTGCTCCCTTTGCGCATGTGAGTGGGGCATGCAAATGGGCCTTATCGATTTGAAGTCCGCACGCAGGGACTTTGCGTTGCGCATGCGTAGTTCCCATGCGAAAGGGAGCACGTAATTGACATTGACTGTACTACAGATAAGAATCATCAAGATTCTGAATGTGGGTATGTCCCTTCCTTCATGCAGTGGAGAACTCGTTTTTTTTTTTTTGAAGCTTCCTTCAGGTTATAGAAAGATTATAATGGCTTGCTTCTAAAACTGCAGTTTATATCGATAGGTGACACTGTCGTACATGAGCCCTCTAATCCATGTTTAACCATCTGCGTGCCCTGCTGCACACATGACCTTCTGTTGTGCTACGTAGTCGAACCGAAATAACCCGTAAATCCGGATAATAAGGCGCTGAACAAAAGAAAGAAAAGCGCGCGACAAAAAATGATGGTTAGAAAACTCTCGACATAATTTTCGATCTTATTACCGATCTCGCAGCTGTGCCTATTGCTGATTATGAGAAAGTATGATGAAATGTCTTTGACAATCTTGCAAGATCAAGTGTATCCCTTTTTAATATTTAACTTCAGCTTCACAAGTTATATTCTAAAACCAACTCGGCATCTGTTCTTCAAAATTCATACGAAATCTTCAAGCAGAATCGAGTTCTTACACAATTTTTTCATAAGCTCAATTTATGCATTTTTTGCGCGGTTTCTTCATATTTTTGCCATTTTGCAAATGGGAGGGCCAGAATAGGAGATGCGCCTGCTGCCGACATTTTTGAAGCAGTGGTGGTTCAAAAAATTTTGACGGAATAGTCAAAGACATTTCCTTAAAGATTTTTTGAGGAACTTTTCCAATTTTATTCGGGTAGGATGACGGAAGTATTCTACAAAAAAGGTTTGCCCTTAGCCACTTCTGAAGATTTTTGAAGATGTTTACCGAGATCTTTGCGGGTTTATAAGATATCAGACACGTGAAAGATCCACTTACCAAACCAAAACGTTTCCTCTAAAACTCAAAAAGATTGAATTCATTTATTTAACAAATCTGACAATTTCTTTACGAACATGCTGGCTAGACTATAGAATCTCTAAGCCTACGCCATAAAATGGCGATAGTCTAAATTTTTCCTTTCGTTTTCCTTCTCAGTGGCGTTGCCCATGTCAAAAACTAAAGCTGGTCACCATGGTACCGCTCGAAAGTGAAGAAGGGAAGAGAATTGGCTTCCTTACATGTCTTCTTCGCTGTCTTCTCCACTTTTTTGGTAAAATCTTTAGAAAACATACATGCGAATGATATGTGTTGCAGTACCAATGAAATCCAATCATGTCGTTGCGTTTTACCTCATTTGGATGTCGTATTAACGTAATTCGGAAGTAATCGGACACCTTAATTTTTGGATGAAGATGTAGATCGTGAGTAGCGGCGGTGCTGATTAACGTTCGAATTGACTGAGTTAACCAGCCTTGATTTTATACATTAACAAAAATAACGCCATGCTGTCCATCCGTAGAGATCAGTCAGAAGATTTTGATCTTGCTAAAGTCTAGAAGTTTGAGATCCAAGTATAATATTTTCTTTTTGAGAAAACTGCATTTAATCTCTAGGTGCCGAATTACTTTTGGATCATCTCTTTACTATATAACACTCATTCTCTGACTAGGAGACGCGGGCACGCTTTGCGTACTTAACAAGTTCATGAATGAGTTTCAACGCGTTTTGGTTGATTTATTATCAGAATTCGTGGAATAACATGTCTGAGGTCGTTAAACCACGCTGGCCTGAACACGTTCTTTCACGACTTCCTGATATTAATTACCAAAACGCGTTAGAACCCATTCATGAACTTGTTAATCAAACCTACGCAAGCGTGCTCGCGTCTCTTAGGCCTCGGGCAGAGTTCACGCATTTGATCGTCGCGATCGATCGCGACAAGACAACTGTAACAATATCATTGTTGCATGCCGATCTTCTTGCATTTGGGTTGTGATAGTTTTCCAACCCGATTAATCGTGACTAACTATCACAACCGAAATACAAGAACATCGGCATGCAATGAACTCGTAACACTTGTCTTGTAGCGATTGGATCGCGACGATCAAATCGCGCGAACTCTGCCTGAGGCCTTAGTCAGAGAATGAATGATAGTATGAAGAGATCAAGTTGAACTATCGCTCGACATGTGGCGTTCTTGGACTTTCAGGCTCTGGATGAAATTAACTCTATTTATGCTAGTTTTTGGCAGTAGTAGTATAAACTAGTTCGTACTAGTTTATACTTCTACTGCCAAAAAATAGTCTACGCTTGTAGTACAATGGCTGACAACATTTCATCTGGATTTTCTAATGAGGCTACACGTCCCTGACGTCCGCACTTCCTCTGTACTATAATACAGCTAGATTAGAGGGAGTAGACTTTCTTATGACTAAATCAACAAACAGCTCATTTTCGTAGGTGGGAGGGAGTATTTCTCTAGAAACTGGAACTCACTCCTCGTAAGCTGAGCCGCTTACTCAAGCATCAAACACAGCCTGCCGCTGCTGGCAGGCCGCGGCGCGATGTCGCGCGGCGCGGCGGCGTCGCAGCGTCATCGTCAGTACTCGTTATCTGACGTGTACAAGTGACGAATTCAGTCGTAGGGCGGAATCCAAGGCAGAGCACTCATATCCGGTATCATCGTTCCATATATGGATATGTACTCTTGTTAATTGTTCTTAAAAGTTTTTATTGATTAGAAAATCATATTCGCTTGAGTTTCATTGAGTGCTTTTGTCGAACGTTTTTTCATTTGGTCCAACTCTTTGTTTTTTCATTTCTGGTTTTTCAACTAATCACAGGTTATTTCAGCGGGTGGTGTGGTTTCGGTAAGTTTTGTTTTAATTCCTTTACTTTTACTTTGCGTTTCCTCATTATTGTTTTTTTATTACTCCTCTTTTGACTAGCAGTTGATTATCTTGTTTTTGATGATGATCTCAAATTTTGTCTACATTACATTAGATTTATGACTGTCTTTCTCGGCCAGACCTGATCCTTATTCCCCGCGAAAAAAAAGCACTGTCTGCGATATGTCTGTCTGGATATCCTTCAAATTGGCAAAATTCCATTTCGCACGTCCATTAGCCTGTCTTGGTCGCAGCAGAAGTTTTTGTTCAAGCCCGACACTGATTTCTTGAAACTGGATTTCGCTATTTGCGCCTTTTCCGAGCGTTCCGTTGGACCGGTCCGGCGCCAGGTGGGTCAGCCCCTTGCGCGCTGGCCGATCACAATCGGCTCCGATCGGGCTGTCCCGAATCTTTTCCGTATCGCGTTCGTTAGCTGGAGAGTTTTACTTGCTTTGCTTATTCATTTCGATGGGCTTTTGGTTGTTTACTTTGTTCTGCGCATCTTTCTGCGATAAAAACATCGATAACCTGTTCTGGCATCAATGAAGTGTCCACACTCACCTTTCCGGTTTGCTCGCAAACCGCTGTTCCATCAATCGCATAAAGCTAATAGACGATTTTCACAGTTATTGTCTCATTGACAGATGTTCTGGCCTGTTCTATGGCTGGCCACTAGTCTCGGACTAGGAGTACTCGCTCAGTTTAACCCATCAAATCCTTGCTTCTGTAAAATCGGCGAGGCTGTGGACTCATGCCGTTGCGATGAACCGAACATCGATCAGCTGAACAATGTGCAAATTTACGAAAAATTGCAAAAACTACTCAAGAGGGACTTTTTCCGCTTTTATCGGGTGAGTGCTTTCATTTTTCGATTGTCTGTTTACATCGTGACCTTCTTTCACATCTTTCAATTGTTACGTACGACTTCGTGCCACCTCTTAGGTTTTTTGGGTAGTTTCAATGACTGCGTTGCATGATTGACCTTTAGAGTCTTCTCATTGAATTCGAAAGTTTTTGTAATTTCGGCAGCGATGACATCGATGATGCCCAGTTTCCTTGCTAAGGCTGCGTTCATACTGATCCGTAAGTTCCGGAACAATTCGAGCGCTGTGCTGGAACTGTTCCGAAACTTACGGATCAGTATGCACCCAGCCTAGAGAATGTACAATTCATACTTGTTCAGCACATTTTCTAGAGTATTTTTCTGATCTAAAAACTACTATAGAGGAGTTTAAATTCACTTTTAATCATAAAGTTTTGCATGATGATAATTCAAATTCCCTCAAACCATTTTGCTTCATAAACGTCGAAGTCTTTCTTTTCATTCGTGCCCTCCATTCTGCACTTTACAAGCAAAGTTTAACATACGTGTCATAGCTATATTTGACTTTTCTTTGTATATCGCCTGTACTTCCTTTTCACCTTCAAAATAAAAGCTCAGGTCGCCGTCAGGTATCTTCCATAGATCTGCAAAGTCCGTGGGGGACTAGCATTTTATTGATGTAATGATATTTCGCGAAAGCGGACTTGTAACGTAGCATTATTCTCAAATACCAAATTAGATTGATTATTTTGCTAAAGTTCTGCCTACGCATCGATAATGCTCATGAATATCAAGATCTGTCGTCATTTTGTGGGGTTATGAAGAAGAGGGCTACTGTGACCTGTTAATTTTTGTACGGTAACTTTTCATGTTATAAATATCGGAGTGAAATTGCAACACGGAGTGTCCGCGGGATGTTGAGTGTTATCTTATCGTAATTTTGCATCCTAGCAAAAATAGCTCTCACGCTTTTAACTGATAATTTTGATCGGTTTGTTAAGCTCCATGTGAACAATACCAAGCAAATGATGTTTGAGGCTTCGCACCAAAAGGAGTTAGTTGCTTACTTTTGAAGTAGCTGTTGTTTCCCTTGCTGATAATTAGAATTCAGAATATGCAGCAATATGCGGCAGAAAATACATCAGTTGCAATAAATGGGTACTGTAGACTTTTTTTGCCTTTTTGTCTATACCCCATCTATTCCCATTGCAAAACTATGAGAACAAATTGTCCGAGAATTATTCTTTCGGAACGTGTCGGCGATATCAAACTACTGTAAAACTGCTTTCCATGGATTCACAAAGAATGCCTTCAGCCATCAATCAGCTGTCTTCCTATTTTTTTGCTCAATTCAATAGAGATCTGGATTTTTGCTTGCTCATTGATGGCGAGACACTTCTTTGAGAACCATAAAGCAAATCAGTCATATTTTTGGCTTATGGTTCGGTTTAGAGTGTGCGAACATATGTTCATATTTACTGACGTTTGATCGTCAGTAAACAGAATTCTTTGGAGTTTTCTTTGAACATTAAAACCCAACTGGCGCGATTTATGACTACGTGTTCTGTTCCAGTTCTCAGGAACTGGTTTAGTTTAGAAAAACGCAAGAGAATCGCTAGTGTTGCGATGAGTTGATTACTATACTATGGGTATTTTGCTTTCAAAATCGAATTGTTGCTTCTATAATTGGTTTCTGGCTATAACACGAGGTTTCACCTCTAACCGAAAAACTAGTCCTTTTGTGGTTTTTTGCTTGATACAGATTATGAAATAAAGTAGCGCTAAACATTAGTTTTGTGGTTATTGCGCTAACCAACTTGCAGCAAAATCAAGAAAGCCTTCAACTCTCATTCAGGAATTATCGATCCTGATCTTTTTACGGGCGGTGTTTCGCCTTTGTAAGCGCCCGATTAGGCGATATGCGCTTGCTTATAATGGTGAAAGAGCGCCCTATCAAAGAACATAATGCGTGCGCTTGTGAAGAAAGTGTAATGAAATTTTTTTTGAGAAGTGGCATTTTTCATGATTTTTTTTGCTTTTTCACATTTCAGTATGATGCCAGTGCTTGCCACAGTGAAGAAATAAGTTTGATCATTCCTTGGAAATCAGCTCTTTGAATATTGCGTCGCTTTGATACAACCTTTTACCGTTGCTACTTCAGCTAGAAACACATTTTTTCGTAGGTCATCTATTGCAATGAATTGTGGAAAAAATCCTAACTCTACTAAATATTGACACTTATGAATATTTTGACTTAGGCAGGCGCCATACTTGATCCGCTTGATCCGCTTCATCCACTTCGCCATTGGTCAGTTGGCTGATTTGACCAATAGTGAAGTGGATGAAGCGGATCAAGCGGATTAAGTATGGCGCGTGCCTTACGAGAGAACTCTGCAAGTTTACGACAAATAAAAAATAGTGACAAGCATTCTACAACGTGAGGTCACGCAACATTCATAGACCCTGCTCACAATCCATGGTGCAGTGCACACACAGCTCTGTTTGTCAAAGTGCATTGTGCACTGTAAACAGAGTGGCCCAACTTGTTGGGGGAAAAATCTCCTCATTAGTACCACCTTAACACTCGGAGAAAGACAGAGGATTTTTTTTGTAAATTGGCATATTTTAGGTCAATATGGACAAAGGATGTCCATTCTGGCCGGATGACCGGCAATGCGGCACGAAACAATGTGGCATAGCATTCTGTGATGATGAAGTCCCTGCTGGACTTCGACAGCCGTCCGTTGCAACGGTGCGTCTCTTCAACAGTGAATACCCGCTAAACAACCGGACAACAGAAATTCAACGCCTATACCGAAACCGAAACCACACCACCCGCGGCATCGTCAGCACTTCATCGGTTCAGGATTGCCCAAGCGCTGGACAAAAGAGCAATGATTTCGATCCTATGGATCGTAGTCTTGACGAGGGAGTTCGGGAACAGTTGAGGGAAATGGATATTCACGATGATCTGGAAAACAAATTTTGCGAAGTTGATGGTGAGTTTCTGTTTCCGACTTGCAAGTGTTTTTTCGTACCTTCTGGCTTTCGAAAGTTTTGCTTCGCGGCTTCGTGAATCTCCGCTATTCTAATTGGGTGCTCGTAAGCATAGCTAGTCTTTATGTTTAGCCGAAGATTCCACCGCAATGCATTATGTTGACTTGTCGAAAAACCCCGAGCGATATACAGGATACTCGGGCGATTCTGCAATAAGAGTGTGGAAGAGTATCTATCAAGAAAATTGCTTCAAGTGAGTGTTTGCACACTTTGTGGAGTACCGTTGCGAAGCTTTTTTAGGCCCGATATGAAATTTGACAAGAACTTCCTTGCCAATCCGAATAATTTTGGTAAGTTCAGTTCTTCATCATCTTCACTGTTAACTTTCCCACGTCCGTCGCCTGTCTTTCATTTTGAAAAGTTCAAGTCTTTTCTCTATGAACTGCTTTCTATGTACTTACCATGCTTGTTTATATTGCTTCATATCAGTGTTAATTCAAAGTAGTATTTGCAGAAGGTATGTTAACATCTTTTGGATAGCTCAGTACTGGATGTGTGGGTTTGTACGGTGGTGTGATTTTATTTCTTTTTTACATTTTTCTTCTTATGCTTATCTTTTTGGGATTGTGTGCTTGACTATGGGTCTCTGTCATTATTTTCTGTCTACCTTTCACTTTGCGATATTTACAGTCATAAGCGGAGAGAGTTGTTTACTTGCAAAAGTGGATGAAGCAGTCTGAGAGTGCAGATATCATGTTTCGATAATCAGTTTTCTAGATTTTTCACCATATTATCAACCAGTTCTATTTGATATGTCATTACGCAGGCTTGTGCATGATTTCGAAAACAAACTCTATCTTATTGAAGATAAACTAAGATATTTCTTGAAAGCTTTCACTTCATCTCCTTTGGCTTGATATTATGATAAGAATTGAGAATTCTTTTTTGAAGGTGCAAATTTGGGCACCTAGCATTCAATTAGCTATAACAAACGGGCCGCCTAAGTTCTCGCTTTACAGCTATTCTTTTATGTACTCCACCGTGGCTGCAGTTGCGTGTGGGAATGTTTTCTTTGATGTTCGCTCAAAATTTCTGAAATTAGAGTTTCTAAAGTCAATGTCTCTGATTTCGGTTCACTACCATTCTGGTGCTTAAGTGACCACGACCATGCATGTTTCTGGGTACCTGGGAGCCTTTTCATTTTTTTTTGTCGTGCATCGTGGCTTGCATGTAACCTACGTTACGAAAATTTTGCAACATGCTTACGACCGCGCTAATTACTCTGATACTTTTGCATCTTAGCAGATCAGTAGGCACCATCGAAAACAGGAGAATGACTGAAGACAGTTCATCATTGCCTTCACCTCCCATCTTTTCGCTGACACAGATTGATCTGTTATGTACGAGTTGCATTCCAAAACGCTCTTTTTCTTAGTCGGTTGCGTTGCTATACAAAGTCTTTGCGGCTAAGGTTTCTACGGGAAACAGGGGCTTCAAAGTGGATCATCAATCGTACTGAGATTGCATACTTAGGGGTAGGAAAAATTTGACGTATGGTAGAAGTTAGATTTTTTGGTTTTGATTTTTTTCTGTCATTCGAGTCCTTCAATAATTCTATTTTATGAACTCCAAGTCGTTCATAGAAATTGTACAGCAATTCCAGATCACAAAATTGATGCTTCTAAGAACCATTCACGTATAAATCAATTAGATTTTAACAAAAATCACTCCGAAGGAGCAGTGATAGCTAACGGGACATTTCCGTTTTTTCAAACTTTTATCTATGCTTATAGTTGGTATCCGGGGCGAACCGTAGATGCTGTAATTCAACTCTTATGACCTTTGAGTGATTTCCTCTTTTTTGTTTCTCTGCTTGATTGGGTCTTCTGTATACCACGAGGGTATGTGTTCAGTGTGCATTTTGCTTTATCGGAACTAAGAGTTTACTTCAGGACTTTGCCTAGAAAAACGAGTGTTTTATCGGCTGATATCCGGGTTCCATTCCGCCATCACCATATCAATAGCTGCGTACAATTATAAGCAGCGTAAGTTAATAAGTTGATCTCATTCTACGTTTGGTATCCTTAGCCTAATGATTTAGCTCCTGGTGGATTTGGAGTAGGAACATGGTTCCGCAATACGGAAATGTTCGCTGGTCGATTTGGCACCAAATGGAGTTGGGAGGGGCCCCAGCGGTAAATATACTTCTTTCTTGTTTTTTAGCTTCGTAGTTATAATTGCGATTCTGGAGCCTATCAGGCTACTTCTGTGTTATCTGTTATCTACAACTTTTCTTGCTATTTATCTTCATGCTTATAAAGGGTTCAAAGCAAAACATTAAAACAAATTTCTTTTTGAGACTTCCTGGCCAATGTAGAAGTGCATGCGAAAAATGGAGCACGATTTCACCTACTGATAAATCGCATATAACTACTTATTTGACTACTGTCTTCCTATTCTCACATGGGTTTAACAGCAGCATTTTTCTAGATTGAAGAATGTTTATTTCGTGTTTTTACTGGAACTACGCGCTCTGTTGAAGGTTGGGCCATACTTGCAGAACGAACTGTTCTACACTGGAAATGAGAAGGTAAGTAACAATCTTGGCGATTGTATGAGGCTCTGTACAGCTTCTTTTTCTCTTGCCTATTTCTGTTTTTTTTTTCTTCCTAGTTTCGTTTGAAGCTTCATGGCAAGCAGGAACGTAAGCGAAACAGGAGAGCAAATCAATTTTTTTTTCACAAATTGCGCAACACTCAGCTCAGATGTTTACCTGGCGCCTTAGTAATTTTTTCGAACAAAAGATTCATGTTGACACAGGGTTAATAGCTCTTTATTTTCAATCGTTCATGAAGCTATTCTTTGTAGAAGGTTCTGGAAAACCACAAAAGCATCTAGAAACTATTTGAGAATAACGAGTTTATTTTTCAGGAGGATATAGAAACCCGAGCAGCTATCGACGAGCTGCTGGATATCATCAAACAGTTCCCTGATCAATATGATGAGCATGAACTTTTTACGGTACGTCTTAGCCGCTATCACGTTACCTTATGTGTAAATTTTTCCGCGCCATCATGAAGTTAGCTCTCAAGAATTTTTGTAACCATGTGTATCTTTTGAAGTCGATCAGCTTACTTTTTTCTCTATTACTTCGCTCCAGGGTATCGAATCACATGCCAGGGAACTTCGGGAAGAGTTCAGATCACATTTCCTCAACATATCCCGAATCATGGACTGCGTCGGGTGTGACAAATGCCGATTATGGGGAAAAGTAAGTTGCTAATAGAATAATCTTTTCCGATGTGTTTTTCTCGAAAATTCAAAAATGTGTGTTTCTTTCAGGTGCAAATCCACGGAATGGGCACAGCACTGAAAATTCTCTTCTCTGACCTTCCTTATTCTCATCATTTGAATGGGCATGGCGGTTCCACAGCTCCTCCATTCCAGTTAACTAGGTAAGTTTTTGCTTGAGCAGACGTTTTTTTCATATCTTTTTATGTTTGAATTTGCTACCCACATCGCTATTGAGTTCTTTTGTGTCTAAGCTAGCTTACTGCCATCAAGACCAGCTCTGCCTCCTAGTTTTTTTTGTACATGCTATCGCCTACAGTGTGAGGATTAGTAGGCGCAGCTTTTTGGCATTATTGTTCCTTTAGTTCCTTTTTGGGGGGTTTCTTTTTTGGTAGGGATCGGTTCAGAATGTGAGGTGCACAGTTTTGTAGTTCAGTATCGATTACTGGTGTGTATCACTTCCTCCCGGTCGGCTTTGTGCCGCGCAAGCGGACGTTATGACACTCTCGTTCAGTAAGAAAGTGTATCTCCTTGAATTTGAGACTAAGGCGCTCAAACACATTCTGGGAAGAAAAGATGTAGTAAAACTCGTCAAAATCGACGGTACATCACTTTCAGGAACGAAGTAGTGTCACTATTCCAAAGCTTGGGACGGTACTCATCAAGTATCTACGAAGTAGGAGAGTTTAGAAAGGAGTTGATACCACAACATCGAGGATATGATGAATTGTAACGAGAATGGCCATGTCTTTACAGTGCCTAATGGTGTCTATCCGCTCAGATACTTGTATTTACTTTCTACCTGTGGTTTTATCACATATGCATGTAATAGTTGCTAGTTAGGGTATAGATGTACTGTACTTGCTTTTTTCACCCTTTGCCTCGCGCCTTGCTTTCGCCGTAAGTTCGTTTGTGCGTAGACGAGGCATTAATAAGCGCTCTTCACACATTGTATATTTTTTCGTATGTATGGGTTTGTCCTCTTTCACTCAGTCCCCTCGAATCTTTATTGTTAAAGATTTCTATCCATTTTTACTGTGATAAGTGATAGTTGAAATATTTATGCACGTCAGTTATTGTCACATGTATCTGTAAGCGACGGTATACTGCGTGAGTGTGCAATCAAATGGTTGTTGGTTTGTTGTGTAAAGTTTTTTATGTTTGCGCTTTATACAGAGACATCTACCGAATTGGAAAATGAACTGCTTATTAGAGCGAAGTTTAGGTGACAAAAATCCGGTCACATCGTCGGTCACAGCTTATAGGTTGTCTTGTCTCCAAAACGGGATCGTGTGGGACAACCGCGATCCAATGGCACAGCGTAAAGGGCCGGGTATACTTCACGCGATTTCAGTCGCGACACGATTTGGCAATATTCTAACTGTCCATAACTCACTATAAGCACATTTCAAATATACAGAAGATGGGGCATTTTATCAATCCTCGTAAGTTATAAACACTGTGCATGTGCAGTTTGCTAGTGTTTAATCTGAAGACTTCTGGCAAATTGCCAAATCGCGTCGCGACTGAAATCGCGTGAAGTATGCCTGGCCCTTAAGATGAACTGCTACCATTGGTTGGTGTGTCCCGAAGCTATATGGTTCAGTCGAAAGGACTGTTCTTTGAGGAAAAGAATTCTACTGGAACCGAAAGGGCAATTAACACTCGAATGTTTCTGATTCAAATAAACCAATTGCTCATGATAAGATTTTCACGTACGCAATTTTTGCAAAGCAACGGCAGCAGGTGTATTAGTATCTATATTTATCGGTAAATATAGTGTCATTGCGGTGTCGAGAATGTGCGGCAAATATTGCGCGTGAACAAATAGCTTCTTCTGAAATGCCGGCGTCACGCGCACTGCCGGCATTACAGGCGTAGTTATTTGTTCAGGCGCAAGGGCACTATTCACTGACATTCACTCAACTGTAATTCGACAGCTGAAACCAAAAGTGCGGAACAGTGTCTGTGATAAATTGCAAAATTCTTGGTCGCAGTAGCAAGGAGAGATTGCACAAATCAGCGAAATAGTAGCGTAAAAAAATTCAGCTGCAAAACCTTGCGTAACGTAAAAATACGTTCTTGCACTAGACTTTAGGGCATGAAGTCTCGTTTACGCCGCAGAGAATAGAATTTCGTACTATTAGCCTCTGAAAGCAAATTTGATGAGCAACGGTCATTTTTGTGAAAAAGGGAACTCTTGAGCATTGCAGCTGCCTAGCGCCGAACAATTAGGCTACTTAGGACGATAAGTAGAATACTCAAGGGGATGGTAATCGTAGTAGGATCCAAGAAGATCGAGAGTGAGGAGCAGAGTAAGAAGGGGCCCATTGCGTCCAAAATTTGGAAAGTCTAGGTTGCTGCGAAAAAAACCTCGTTAGGGGTGTTCTTTCATCTTATTTCTTAGCAGGCTGACATACCAAGAGATCTGTTTTGCACTAAATTAGATTAGAATTCTGGCAAATTGAGATATCATCTTCACTTAGATCTCAGTCCTTTTTATAAGACACTAGCTGGCTTGCCCGGCTCCGCCGGGCCTGCCAGCTAGACCCGTGTACGTATGTTCCAAATAGAAAATTCCATTTCTGAACCGATCCGGACCAAACTTTGCACACATACACTTCGGGCCCCGGCGGGTGTCACAGTCCACTTTTCGTTATCGATCGATGTCGATTATACCGATTTTTATCGATCTTTTTTGCAGAGTTCACCTACAGGGCTAGGAGTTGGCACAGGGGGGAAGTGAGCATGGGGATTCCGAACACAATATTAGTTTTCAGAATTATCGATTACTTTTATTGATTTTATCGATTTTTTTGTAAATTTTGACCTGCGGGGCTGGGAGTTTGCACAGGGGGGTAATCGAGCATGCTGATTACGAACACAATATTAGTTTTCAGGATCGTCCATTACTTTTATCGATTTTATCGATTTTTTTTGTAAAGTTTGACCTGCGGGGCTGGGAGTTTGCACAGGGGAGTAATCGAGCATGCAGATTACGAATACAATATTAGTTTTCAAGATCGTCCATTACTTTTATCGATTTTATCGATTTTTTGAAAATTTGAGCTAGGGGGCTGGAATTTGGCACAGGGGTGTAATCGAGCATGCTGATCACCCCCCTTGGGGATGATCAGCATGCTCGATTACCCCCCTGCGCCAACTCCCAGCCCCCTAGCTCAAACTTTGCAAAAAAATCGATAAAATCGATAAAAGTAACCGATAATCCCGAAAACCAATATTGTATTCGGAATCCCCATGCTCGACTACCCCCCTGTGCGAACTCTCAGCCCCGTAGCTCAAACTTTGCAAAAAAATCGATAAAATCGATAAAAGTAATCGATAATCCTGAAAACCAATATTGTATTCGGAATCCCCATGCTCGATTACCCCCCTGTGCCAACTCCCACCCCCGTAGCTCAAACTTTGCAAAAAAATCGATAAAATCGATAAAAGTAATCGATAATCCTGAAAACCAATATTGTATTCGGAATCCCCATGCTCGATTACCCCCCTGTGCCAACTCCCAGCCCCGTAGGTGAACTCAGCAAAAAAATCGATAAAAATCGATAAAATCGATATCGATCGATGACGAAAAGTAGCCTATGACACTCGCCGGGGCCCAAAGTGTATGTGTGCCAAGTTTGGTCCCGATCGGTTCAGAAATGGAATTTTCTATTCGGAACATACGTACATACAGACATACAGACAGACATACAGACAGACATACAGACATACAAACAGACATTCAGCTTTATATATAAGACAAGATGGAAAACGTCAAATTAGTTCTCAGAAAGTCGTTGAAAAATGTTGAAAATATTGAGTTGGCTAATAAATAAGCTCGTTTCGACATGCAAATTCGATGCTCTACAATAATTCGATTAGCAGCTAATTGGCAGGGACTTTTTTTCAGGAGTAGCTTCATCCATCTAATCTTACATATCGAATACTCAAAATTTTCTGTCGTCAACAAATGACAGTTATGCCCTTACATGGCTAACCTTCTGAAAAATCATTCTTTTTGAATTTCCGAGTTTCGCTACCCCGTAGTGAGTGCAAAGAGTAATGCTGATTGAGTACATTCAACTTTTGGCTACATGGCAAACCACCATGGAGACTGTAATCAGATGCAAATTTATGCAGCTAAAAAATGTGAAGTTTTTAGGTATTTGCGCGTGTAAGTCAGTTTTTGGGCAATCTAAAACGCGTGAATTTGACCATCTATTCAAGAAAATGGTCGGATACTGATTATTTTTTGGATGTAGCAAATCTACATTTTACAAACAGCTTCATTTCGTTTTTTGGAACTTGATTTTTTGGAAATATGGTGAAAAAAAACCAACTTCTTTTATTTTCTGAACCATTTCGTCATCGATAATTTCTAACCATACATTCATATATAAATGGTTTTGTAACATTTCTACAAAGCGTCAAAAACGATTGAACTTGTTTTCTAGCAAACGTAGTATTATTCCTCTTTGTTCATAATAGATTTGAGCATTGTCAGGAAATCTTTTGTATCTATCTTGAACATCAAAATTCCCGACCTTTTCCCCAATGTTACCACTTGCTCTTTCTCATAATGCTTCTTTCTTGTCCTTCCGTTTTTGTCGCGACATTATCCTTATTCTTCAAAAAGCCAGAAACAAATCTAGCTCTGCATGGCTGCCACGAAAAAGGCAATTTGAGGGTAAAAATTCTTTTGTGGAAGCTATACCCAGACCTACAATCGAAAATAGGCGGGCTTGAGAGCTTGTCTGAACAAAGTGGGCCCAGTTTTTTGAGATTTTTTACCAACCTTCTTTCTTCCCCCCCCCCCCCTCCCCCTACAATTGTTTACTAGAGCACTGAAAATTGTCACAAATAACTTTGGAGAGCAGAAATAAATAAGTAAAATTATGCGTTGGATAGTCCAGAGACAAGCCCAGGGCATGATTGTTTGATATTTGATTTTACAAAGATGTCTTGCAATACTGATCTTCTGTCTTAACATTCCAATCAAGTCGATCAGAAAATAGAAATTTTTTGTAGGGTTATACTTAGACGCCAAATGGAGCCTACATACTTTTGTTGCTTCTTTTTCCTTCATTTTTTGTTAGTCTCTCCTGCTTTTAGCGCTGCCTGCATTGCTGTCTTTATCTGTTTCAAACAAGAATACCTAAAGCACAGGAACAAAAGATAGCGAACCCCTAAAATAGCGCTAATGAGGGAAAATGCGCTTTTACCCCTTTTGAATTTTATCAAGATCAAAGAATGTTTGGCGATGTTTATGATGTTTGCATCATAAGGAAGAGCACTATCTGAAGAATGTACAAAAAACCATTCTAGAAATACTGCTTTTTGAATTTTGCTCTAAAAGCCAAGCTATCCACATTGTCGAGCCACAAGATGATATATTATTTTCTGTGAGTGCTCTTCAAGCGAGAAATGGGTACCACAGAGAATCAAATATCCCATAAGAGGCAGCACGCAAGAGACGGAGGCGCAGACGACCAGAGAAGAAATGTCATAGACAGTCAGGCTTGGTTTCGGTAGGAGATCTCCACGAATTCTCAGCAAAACCATGCAATAATTTATATCATTTTACTCAAGATAAGACGACGAGAATAGCGGTCAACATCGTTATTCAACAAAAAAACCATCCCGTAAAGAGGCACGCATTTGTATGCGATCTTCTATCCGGTAATCCATCTGAAAATTTATGATACATATTTGATTTCAATGATTTTGCATGGGTCTTTTTTAGTAAAAAAAGACATTGCATAACGGCACTATGTATAAACGAGTCGTATCAGGGACGAATAGATTGCCCATTGATGCGTCCGATGAGACAGTTCGAGTTGGAGGAGGCAGCAGACGGTAAGGCAAATGAGAGAACGTGTGACTGGAGAGACGCCGGCAGCGTCCGCAATGGCGCTCTGTCTCTGCGTCTTTTCAACAAAAAAAAAACATTACGTTCGAGCATAGAGCAAATGACAAAAGAAATTGTAGGACTCAGGAAAAGAGGATTTTTTGGAGGAGCAATTAAGTATACTAAATTGTAATTGTGCGTATAATGATGGACATTATATTCACTGATATATAGTAATGTTGCTGATCAGGACCCGATCAAGTCCTAAGATCTAGTCCTTAGACATTTATCATAGTGTCACGATCATTTTCTGCCAAATCACTCTCACTGCTCGTCCCGTTGACATTTGTTCTGTCGCTCGCGAATCATCAGCAGCGCCGCAAAGAGGTCATCGTTTTCTTATCCAAAAACACTGACCGTCGCCTCTGATAAAGGCAACCCAATATAAAGACTCACCTGTCAACACACACTCGCTGATTGCTGCCTTTCACATTGATGGCGTCTTTACGTCAGAATAATTCCTTGTCTGGATTGATTGCGGTAAGCATCTTAATTTTGATTTTTTGAGGGATTTTGGCGCCGAAAATAATCATTGCTGTTTTCTTAGGGGCTCAGCTTTTGTTGGTTGATAATGGTTCCAAAACCGACTCAGAAAATAAGAGAGGGAAAAAGTTTTTGAACACTCTGTTTCGTTCCTTTCCCCAGAATAAAAAAGGATTTTGAAAGCAGGGCCTGTCGCACAATCCCTTCTTCTTTTTTTTTTACTTTTTGTAAAAGTGTTTCAACTATTTTTCGCTAAAGTAATTTTACTGCCTACTACTACCTGTTTTTTCAATGAAAAATGACTGAAAATTTTCTAGTCCTATCTATTAATTTCAGGTTATCGCGATTTTTTCTTCCTTCGCCCTCGCCCACACTCGAATTGTAATCGATGCTGAATCATACTGGGAGGCAGATGATCAGAACCCACCACAGAGAATTAGACATTCGACCCTAGGTAAGTTGTCCGCAGTCACATGCGTTCTGCAAATAGAACCATTTGTACTTGCACTGATAAGTGTTTCTGGCTTCTGTGACTGAAGGTGGAGAGATAAGAAAAGGGCTTTATAATTCTTTTCATAAAGGGGAGCTCAGGAGATCAAGCTTGGCAAGAAAAGACTCAAAGAAGTGAAATGGCGGACTCATAATCAAAAGCGATTACATCAATGATATTTCGGTCAAATTGGCACAATTGATAAGTGTTCAATATTCAGAATGACTCTAGATGTTAAGTTCTTTGCGTGCTCAAAAAGTCGCATTTGAGCAGTGCTCGGCAGGAGCCGGCACCAGTGAAATTCCAAAACGCCCCTTGACTTTCGCTAAATTTTACGAAGTTCCCTTTGACCTTAAACCCTAAACGTGAAAAACCCTATAAACGAAACGTCGACAAAAAAAACGCCGTAGTTTTCGTGTCATTTCGGTCACAAAAACGATATCCCTTTTGCTTCTTGTCCCAAAAACGATATCCAGCTTTACCCGGTGCCATCGGGGCTGAGCCCTGCATTTGAAGATAAGATACGATAGACTATGGAAGCATAGTATTTTTTAAAAATGCCATAAGTTGACTTAGAAAGCTACACAAAAACGCAGCTGACAGTCTTAAAAACAAGTAATTATTCTGGATAACTTTTTGAATCTATCCTGCTAATTTTGAGACCCAATGGTCACTTGCGTATCTCACTTCTTACTAATCACATAGTCCATTGGTTGCTGTTAGTATTATGTGCAACTGCACATGGACGCACGGACGCGGGAAATTTGAATTTCAGAGGTTTGCTTTCTTGCCGAAGCTTATCACGATTTCGATTAGGGCTCGGCACTGGTGACTTACAAGCAAGCTGGATATCGTTTTTGGGACGGAAAGCAAAGGGAGTTTCGTTTTTGTGGCCGAAATTACACAAAATTTGCGACGTCGACCTTTTTTAGTCGACATTTCCTTTTTTGGAGGATTTTTAGTGATTTCGGTCTGGAGTCAAAGGGGACTTCGTAAAAATCAGCAAAATTCAAGTGGGACTTCGTTTTTTGTATTTTAAACTAGCCACCTCGTGCCGAGCCCTGCTTTCGATGCATTAGCCATTCAAAAAAATGGCAGAGGTTACTTTCCTGCTAACTTCCAAGTAGCTCCAGCTGTTTATTTCCTTGTGCTTCTGGCCCACAAAATTCCAAGTTGTAACCAACTTCATTGTGCGATTGCACATATTACTAGCAAAATTTACTGAGCTATGGATTCCGTTTGCGTGAAATCCTATGTGCCCCTTCAAGAAAAAAAAGACATAAAAGTTCTAAAGTAGAGTAACTCGTACCATTTATTGATAGCTTTGACCTTTTGACTCCGAATTCTTATCAATGAACTTTTGGAGGGTCGCCAAAACTTAGATAACGGCTCTACAATTTTGCTGAGCTTTGTCTCCAGCAGGCACTGATTGGTACACACACATATATGATAGGTTATCATTGGTATACGTGGTTCGATTCCCATAGTGCGGAAGTCAGCAAAACGCAGTCAGCAAGCTACCAAAAACAACTTCCAGAAGCATTCCGTAACCGACAAATTTCAAAAGAAGCCGAAGAACTCACAGGCAAGGATCTGATTGATTATGTGAACCAAAAGCAGACTCTGTGGAAGGTAACACTAGGAAGACTGAGCTGTTAACAGAATTTTTAAGACAATTTTTAGGCAAAGAAGCATCATCGCTTTGACGCTTACCCTGATCGCACTAAATGGGGTTTGATGGGCGTCAATCATGTTCGATTGTCTGTCGAGGTAAGCGAAAAAACTAAACTGTAGACTATCAGAAACAACAAGGTCCTTCCAGGCAAAGCAACATTTATCCCACACTAAAGATTTGGACATTGATATTCCGGAGACATTCGATTCTCGAGAACAATGGCCAATGTGTGAATCTATAAAGAACATTCGTGACCAATCTAGCTGTGGTAAGTAGCGACTTAGATTGTAATGAATGGCCATTATATTTTAAATGACAAAGACATATTTGACAAAGCCAAGGGAACCGCACAGCGGTGTTTGAAAAAAATAGTAGGCATGAAATTGAGGAGAATTTGTTGTGAATATTTTCACGGACAGTGAAACTTGGAGATAATTTCGCTTTGTTTGTAAATAGTTAGAAAAATTTTTTCCACATTGTTTGTTCCATCGGAGCTTTCCCTTTTCCAAATCTCATGAGTAAAATCAAAAGATTATTTTTTATAGAATCTGTAGGTAGAATCAAAAATCAAATAATTTTTTCAACTTGATAGGAGCAATGTTTGCTGGAAAATGAAGTTTTTTTTAGATTCTATTTCCTTCTTTGAAATTACAATGTGGCTAGTGGGCATCTTGCATTTATATAAACGACGACTTAGTTTTTTCTTCCATTAAGGATCATGCTGGGCATTTGGAGCAGTAGAGGCCATGTCTGATCGTATCTGCATAGCATCAAATGGCAAGACGCAGGTATATTTACGATGCCAAAATTCACAACGGTCAACTAATGAGATTTATTTAGGTTACACTATCCGCCGATGATCTTTTGAGCTGCTGCAGGTCCTGCGGATTCGGGTAAGTTAACTTGAAAGTTATTTTCAAGGAAAACTTGTTTATTTTTAACCTTACAGATGCAACGGTGGTGATCCATATCAGGCTTGGAAGTACTGGACCAAGAGCGGTATTGTAACGGGATCTAACTACACAACACACGCTGGCTGCAAGGTATAGAGAATTTTTTCCTCAGTTGATAAACGTTGTTATGTTGTTAGGCTTCATTAGGAGATTTGTGTAGCTGCACCACAATAACATCTTTTCAAAACCGTTGCGAAAAGCTGTATTTCGAATCCAAAAAGAATCAGACGGTTTTAACGCCGGAAATAAGCACCACGACGTAAAAAAATGCTGAGGTCGCATCATTAAAGCGGCGCGGCTGCAGCGCGGTTTGCAACTCAGAGGCATCTCCGCACCGTTGCTGCGTGCAGCTCGCGCTCGGGACGATCTTATTTCTTCTTCCGTAATATGTGTGCGGATTTTTTGAAAGAAACAGATTTTGATGTTTAGCCCTATCCATTCCCTCCATGTGAACATCACTCCAACAAGACACACTACGATCCATGCAAACACGATCTGTTCCCGACTCCAAAATGCGAGCATACCTGTGATCCTTCTTACAAAGACAGAAGTTACACTGCTGACAAGTACTACGGTAAGTTGGCCAAGGATCTATAAGCCTCTGATTGTCGAATATTTAGGTAAAACCGCGTACGGAGTGAAAGACAATGTTGAAGCCATACAAAAAGAGATCATGACTCATGGACCAGTTGAAGTAGCCTTTGAAGTCTACGAGGATTTCCTAAATTATGCTGGAGGTGTCTATGTGGTAAGTCATTATGATACTTTTAGTTCAAAGTACACCAAGTTAGTGAAAGACAAAAAAGAAAGAAAATGAAGAATGATGAAATGAAATCTGTTTAGGTTAAAGACTTAATACACCCCTGCGCTACAAAAAATTCAGCGAAAATATCAAAACACTGTAGATAACAAATTAGCAATATAAGACACTTCTATTACGAAAATAACTCATGCGCATTGCTGATAGAATCTGTAAGGGCGTGGCACTTTTGCACCGTTATGCAGTACCACAGTAAAGACTCCGCGCGGACTCGTGACGCCTGAAGTTCCTTCAAAGGAAGAATGTGGAACAATCAGCGCTACAGAAGACATCAACACAAAGACTAGTAGTTGACTATCAGTAAGGTGTATGATAGATGGGATACTGTAATGGTGCAAAAGGGACACTTTTGTGCTGCTCGAAGAATTTAGCGATTGATATATATCAAGGATGCTAGCTGTGTAATTTAACTCATGCTGAAATTTCAGCATACTGGCGGAAGACTCGGTGGAGGACATGCTGTGAAAATGATTGGATGGGGTGTGGATCAGGGTATGCCCTATTGGCTAATTGCCAACAGCTGGAATGAAGACTGGGGAGAGAATGGTAAACATTTCTCCTATTACCGGTTGTTACAAACCAGCCCTAAATTTTTTTCAGGTTATTTCCGCATCTTGAGGGGAGTAGACGAATGTGGCATTGAATCTGGAGTCGTTGGTGGCATTCCTAAGCTTAATGATATTCCCTTCAGAAGGTAAGAAAGGTTTAGTTGACGTAGTGTAAAATTTTTTTGCTTTTTTAGGCAACAAAACGTCAGATCTTTCGCAGATGACGAGTTGGACCTCTTCTTCTAAGGCAATACTGTCCTCAATATTCTCAACATGCACAATTGTTTTGTCTGTTTGAATAGTTCAGGTTCATTGAAAATGAAATAAAAATTCAAAAAAAAAACCAGCATGAGCTTGAATTGAAGACATTTATTGCTTTCTATTTAAAAAAGTCAAAGATTGTTTGATCAGATAGAATAAATAATAAATAAATGAATAAATAAATAAATAAATAAATAAATAAATACTGGCGAAACTCGCATGTAAAGCTCAAATTTTCTGCAAGTGAATTTGTAGTGTAACCTAAACATGAAAAGAAAATTACATTAATTTCAGATTTGGGTGTTTTATAAATGTTCATACCAGGGGCTCAACAACATCTTGTTGTGGAAAGATTAAAGTAGTATATGTTACAAAATTCATTTGTATTATTCTTTTACGACTTGATCAATTGCTTTGTAAGTGTCAGCTCATCGCAGAAGAGAAATGAGATTTCAAAGATTCATCGGACCTTTTGCAAACCAACGGTCTTTTTGACAGGTCACATATTAGCCGCAATCTACATAAATAAATCTTGAATCATCTTATGTTTATCAGTGCATTTTCATTACAATATCATTTACGACCGTACATTAAACTAGGTGGCTAGAGAATTTTGAAAAGTCGCATAAAAAAGCTGAGTCAAAATCACATGCCTGAAGCAAGCACATTCCTATTCCCTCCATCTGTTGCTACAGAAGGGAAAAGTTGAAAAGAATGACTAATTTGCCACCTCTTGTAGTTTTAAAAACTTAATCGGGCAAAACAGTGAGGTTATAGAATTTAGCTTTTGCCTGAACCTAAGGATAATTCAACTAATTTAAAACTGAGATCAAAAAAATTAAAGGTTGGTCTATCTGCTGCTTTGAGTTGTTTTGGAGGCATTGCTATGTGATGAAAATATTATGAGGTTGTTCCAAAAATAGAGTAATTTTTTGAATAACTCAAGCTGTTTTTGTTTTCCTACTACACTTAGGGCATCATTCGATAGAGCAGATCAAGCTCTGCAAAACGATCAACAAGGATCCGCACAAGTCGCATTACATGTAAAGTTTGAAACAAAATCGAGAAAAATTTTGTTATAAAAATTGGATTTTTGCGAGGAAAAATCCTACTAACCTCCAACCTTTTCACTATACAGCAGATAGTAGTATCTCAAATATGCCTTTACTGGATTTTTTTGCGCATAGAAAGCAAAAAAAAAGACAATCCAGAAATGGCAGACTGCCCCTGGACCCTCCCACATATGTCATTGTATACTACAAGCCTTACTAAGTATATATACTACAAGCCTTACTAAGTATAATCTCAAAACTTTACCCCTATATGTGCTCTTATCGAGAAGTACCAAGCTTTACATTAAAAAACCGAAAAATGCGGCATTTTGGCATTTTCGAAGCATCTTTGTTTCTCAAGTCCGTAGGAATTTCTGGAAGGAGATCCATTTTGGGTAGTTGAATTTTGATTTTAGGCTTCAAATTTTACCTAAATTACGAGTTAGGTGGATTTTGATGGTCCTATTACAGAGCTTGTTCAGCTCTATCGAAAGGTACATTTATTCTCTTAGTGAAACCAAAACAACTCAATTTATCTAAATAGGAGTGTACTTTTGGAACAACCTAATAGTTTGATGTCGTGCGTAAGTGCCTTGCTGCTCTCTTACGTTAGTGGTAACCTTTGAGATGAAAGCGAGAGATCAAATCGGTCAACTTCAACTTCGATCACTTTGAAGTAAGTTGCTAAAAATCTGACTTATGATAAAATTCCGAACAGGTCACTTAAGCCTTTTGGACCTTTTCCAGCTGTGTAGAGTTTATATCAAATGAGCATTCCTGTGAAGAGCTATGAGCTTTGAAAAAAGGGAGAAAGCGATCAATTTTGTTGTTTTGTATTGCTTAACATGAACATCATGAATCTGCACTGTTGAAAAAGGTGCATCAAAAGACTTACTTTACCGTTCGCTCCGAATTTCATCGCAAGTTCCAGATTTTCAGCAAAATAAGTCAAAATGACCGACAAAGGCACCGTCCATCCTAAGCTGAGGGTCTTACAAGCCAATGCCCAAGTCGCGGCGCGAAATGTCGCTTCTTAAGCGAGAAAATCGCTCCAGAATGACGAAAATGCACGAGGACCCCCGGACGGTACCGCCCTCCCCATTCTTGCCCGCCCATCCGTGCTGTCCAGCCAATCACCGTTCCGGAAAGCCGACCTGCGGGTTCTCCTAAACGGGGATTGTCGGGGTTTTCGCGGATTCTGAACTTCATATTCGGGATTAGGGACATGAGAAGGTCCCGGAACGATCAAAACACAGAGATTTGGAATATGGGTGGACGGTGCCTTTAAGGTGATTTAACCTCCTGCTCTCATCTCAATAGCAACCCCTTATTAGCAACAAACCCCGCTATCACAAAGAAAGTTTCCTTTACTTAGCGGAATTGAGCCTGGGCATTCCCTTGAGAGAGCAAGAAGTTATGTTTTTGCAAAAGTTGTGCGCACGAACTTTTGCACCATTCCAATAAACCAGTATATGCACATAAACATTTCATAAGCACTAGATCCTGAACTTATAGAGTAGTTTATGTTCAGAGAAACCAAGAATCTTTTGGCGAGCAAATTAAATTCAGTCTGTATGAGTTGCACCCGTTTTTTTTTGGTTTCTAATATTAATTCTTTAGGCTCACAGGTACAGATCGTCAAAACTAATATTTGTTGAAGTCTACTAGTGCACTTCATTTTTCTCCTCTATCCTTGACCAAAATCGAAACTCACTTTTTTCTCGACGAAATTTCATTTGAATTAGCTTAATTTGCATTGGCGAATGTTGCCGCGTACGGGCGCAGCAATTGTTCTTGAAATGTTCTTTACGGTTGCTTATTCTTAATGGGTCCAGTTTTGTGGTGATGTTCTTCTGACAACTAGCGGAATGGAAACACAGAAAAGGAAAGACGTAAAGAGACATTGGAGCGTTATGACAGGAAAGCATTCGCAATACAATTAGTCAAAATAGCACAATACAATCTCATCAATTAGACTCGTAACATTTTCACAAAAAAAAATTCAACCCAATTAGCATCTAATGCACATCTTCTTGTATTAGAATGGGTGTGCAATCACGAAATTAGGATTAGTATGAAAATGGATTTTCCTACAAATATCGAATTACGAGGGCTATATTGAGAGCGTAATATCAGTTTGGCTAAAAAATAAGTTTGTTTGACATAAAAACTTTTCTTTTTGTTTACCACAATATTTGAGAGGAGCTTTTGAAGCTTTTCTACTTTTACATGTCAACTAGTCGGAATTTTCTAATATTAGTTAAGACAGTTACGCTTCAATATGGCTAAATGTCTAAGAGCTCAGTTTTATGCTGTCATGGACGTAGAGGTGAGTAATTTAAAACTTGAACACTCTTTGATTCAACTGGCTTGGCTCCTGGAAGGCGGGGCTTCGTGACCTGATTAAGGCTATGTAATGATCAAAGAGCACGAGCGCGGGAGAGACGCAGACTGTAGGCGCCCTTAATTAGGTCACAATGTCCCGCCTTCCAGGAGCCAAGCCAATTGAATCAAGGGATACATACAAAATTTCGTCTATTTGGCAATATAACAAGGAAAATGTGATCTGCCGTTTTGGAACTTTTCGATCAAAAAAATATTCTCGCATTTGTGCACGATGAAAAAATTGGGGTTTCTCACATTTCTGCAGATTTGCGGATTTCTTTCATTGGAAGAAAATTTTTACCCCAATTTGACATTTCAAGCCTCATTGAAGTGTTCTTTCCAAAGATACCAAGCATTGAACAAAAATTTCTTTACAACATTTGCAAGAGCCGCACAAGCGACCGAAATTATTTTTTAGCGACCTTATAATATATGTTTGACTTTTATAGCATTCAAACGACGCGGACCATGGATGTATAGCGTATTACGAGTTTTCTTTTTTGAAAAGTTTTTTTTGCCATATTGTTTGCCGAGTAAACAAAGTGCGCACATTAACGAGTATGATAACATCGGTATTAGCTAGAAAGCGGGGCTAAGAATGATGGGAAATGTCAGTAATGCTGATAATGAATTCGCCAGTCGTCAAGAATTTACATCTACTACTTTTGAAAACGAATTTATATAGTCGCTCTAAAAAGCTTATTACATTGGTGAAACATTTGTTAAGACGCGATTATTAGTTTTTATAGTAATCCAAGGTGTTACTTGGGAACTTTCACTTGTATCTTTTTTGTTACAGCTAATCACTTCAGCGTCTAGACAACTGCTTGATCCAGATCGCTGAACTTACTGGTCCCATCCTGTGTTCCACCCCATTTCTTCTTTTGCCATTATCCGGCTGTAACGGTAAAGGAATGTATGTTATGAAGGAACAGACGGTGTAATTGCAAGAAGTTGGAACCAGGGCTCGGCACAGGTGGCTTACAAGCAAGCTGGATATCGTTTTTGGGACGAAAAGCAAAGGGGGTTTCGTTTTTGTGAGCGAAGACATACGGAAAATTGACGACGGCGACCTTTTTTTTTAGTCGACGTTTCGTTTTTTGGGGGATTTTCGGGAATTTTTCAGGTTTTCAGAAGAAATTTGGTTCAGGGTCAAAGGGGACTTCGTAAAAATTCCCAAAAGTCAAGGGGGACTTCGTTTTTTCCATTTTCATCTAGCCACCTCGTGCCGAGCCCTGGTTGGAACATCAGAACATAGTTGGCTGACGAAAGAACAGCGAAAAGAAATGGGGAAGTAGGACTGGAAGCGCGTAGGAAGGATGATATATAGAAGTATGAAAATCAATCCCTAATTTTTATAATAACTTATGGCTAAACAGTAGTGACATAATGATTATAAGTATTGAAGAGATCAAGCTTTTGAGAAGGCTCAAAAACAGTTAGTAAACATCTTTGGACAATGTTACACTGGTACAACGAGATCGTACTCACTTTCACAATTTTTTTGGATGAAACTTTGTAACCATGTCACATATAGTCATATTCGATGTAGTCTAGTCGTTTAACTCCCCTTTGGCATACATCCAACTTGTCATTCACATCTCAACCTAGTCACCGTGAATATACAGAGCTTGATGAATATCCTGCACAAGCCAAGTGTGACAGACTATATCAGTGCAAAACATTGGGGGGCAGTAGTACATTCTCGTGTTCCAGTGCCGGACCGGGCACCCCCCCCCAAGAACGGGTCGCAAAATTTCTAAATTTACTTACATGGGTCATAGAAGTGTGCGAGTGACTTGCTTATTCTTATAAACAATTAAAATAATTTTTAAATATTTTTAAAAATTCAAATTGACCTTATAAAAATTTTTTTTCGAAGGCGTGGTTAACACCATGCACCTTCATTTTTGAAAAATTCTTGCCGCCCCTCCCCCACAAGCCGCCACTGACGTGTTCTGATACATGGAGCATATATACCTTTGTGCCAAGACATAGACGCAAACTTTATAAAATTTTTCAAAAGTGTACTGGATGATTCAAGAATTATGGGGCAACTAGGATGAATCCAAGTGCTTAGACGAACTTCCGGGAAAGATTGGATCGGATGTATCTACCTGCAGAATGTAAGATGCTTTATGGAGACCCACACAATCCAGAATTTTTTTTTGTCAAAAATGGGAGGGTAGCCATTCCAGATTCATCTTTTGAATAAAACACTGCAAGGTAAGAGGGCTTTAGAGATGAAATGGGAATTTTTGTTCTTTAATTTTTTATCAGGGGGTAAGAGCTTCAGCGAGAAGAGCTAGGCCCTAGTTAGCAATTGTGTTTTACTTTTGTTTCCTTACCGTCATCATCCCATCCCCCCCCCCCCTCCCCTCCACTGATCACCCCAAAGTATGTTTGATTAATCGAGCGTCAGTTAGGCTCAGCCAGCCGTAGGTCCAAGCGAGCATCCAGCCAGTGTTTGGCCAGCTCTGCTGACCTTCCCGCCCCCTACCCCGTCGTTGTCGTTCGTCAACCGCGCCCCCCGTGCACGCGATCACCCCCTCGCGCACCCCGCCGAGCCGAAAACCCGTCGACTTGCGCACCTTACTGATATCATAACACTATCACTATTCTTACTTTGCACTATGTTATTTGACCTGTGCTGATGTTGTCGATCAATATAATCAATATTCTGAATGGGTAACTGTTCCGGAAAGAGTGAGAAGTCTCTTCCGGGGGAGTTGCCAAGTTTACCACGAACCCCGGTAATCCTCGCGAACGCTCCCTGTTTTATTGCTTTATTTGATTACGAGGCCAGAACGGACGATGACCTTAGTTTTAAGAAAGATGAGGTGAGTTAACCACTTTACCTTACCCTTGGTTAAACTTCTTACCCACTTTCAGGTACTCGAAATTCTAAACGATCAACAGGGTGAATGGTGGTTTGCTAGACATAAAGCTACCGGTAAAACCGGCTACATTCCAAGCAATTATGTAGCGAAAGAGAAAAGCATTGAATCACAGCCGTAAGAACTTTAAACATTGTGTTTGTGTAAATACACACAATATGCGCAAGCAAACGGCTTTCTATGCTGTTTGCAGGTGGTATTTCGGAAAATTACGTCGATTAGACGCGGAGAAAGCGCTGCTTCAACCGGAAAATAAGCACGGAACGTTTTTGGTGAGAAATTCGGAAAGTCGACAGAATGATTTGTCATTGTCAGGTGAGGGTTTCATGACTATATTAATCATAATTGATGTTTTATTTATCAAAAATGTTGTTACTCCAAAATTGCTAGAAAAAAATTATAAATTATGGTTTTTGTGCACTTGCACCAAAAACATCAAATCTAGCGATACAAAAGTCAGTAATTACTCTTTTACTGTGAACTTATGAATACGATTGAATTCTATCATTTGCACAGAAGACCCTTGAGCAAGCATTTTTACAAACAAAACCAAGAAATTAACTTTTATGTGCAAATGCACAAGGGGCATCAAATTCGTCGAGATTATACTTGAGAAAATGATCTTTTTTGTCAGATATGACCTTATATGCATGTGTTCCAAATATATTAAATACCATATGCATGAAACACCTTCTGAATTTGAAGTTCCTAGAAAAAATCAATAGTTAAGTGTTATGTGCAAGTGCACAGAAAACATCAAATCCTTCAACTAAAAACTTTAAAAAAACATCTTTTACTGTCAGATAAGGGACATCTTCTTATGTATTATCATTATTTGCCTTATATGTACAGCCGTTTACTTCTGATTATTAATCGAAACGTATCGCTGCGACATTTTTGCACGTTTTTGGAAACAAAAATTACTATTCTGAACAAATGCGCAAAAAACATCTAATAAAATGAACATGAAAGAAGGAATATTTGTTGTTGTGAAGTGAAGGTACAAAAACTTCTTATCGGATTCAAAACCATATGTCTGAAAAGTTGCTATAAGTTAAAATATTTCTTAAAAAATGGAATTTGTATCCTATGTGCAGTTGCAGAAAACACCAAATCCAGCTTGAGCTGACCATAGATCATATGTATCTACATATCCATTGCTCTGTTCTTTGTTGTTATCCCTCTCAAGAGCTCCTGTATGTTTACCCTGTTCATAAGATGTTGCAGAAACGTATGCACTATCCAATTTTTGACTTTTTGCCAGAAAGAGGATTAGTTGCTTCTTCTGTACTTCAAAAGCTGTCACTCCTTTATCAAAAAAGCAAATGTAAAGCCTTGTGTGACCTTCCAACGCCCTGTTGTTTTTATCAGTGAGTCCTTCACACAACAGCTATATTTGTTCAAGACTTTAGCCCGAAAAAACTTTCTATAAGCCCATTAGTACACTGTTTTTCTGCTTCTTCTTCTTTGACGCGTTTTCAGTGAGTTGTTTTTCAATCTAAACCTTTTGTTATATCATCGCTATATAAATTGTCTTGCTTGTTTTCTAATGATCGAAATTTTTGTAATTTCTCCATCATACAGTTTTTGTATCTTTCCCACGGCTGTCACTATGAGAACATCAATCGCAATCATCACTTTTTTCCAATCTTGGCAACTACAGCATTCCTCCTTTTCCATTCCTCATTCCTCCTCAAAAATTGTGGTCCTTCAATGGAAATTTTGCGCCTCAAAGCTCTGATAACTTTATAAGTCTAGGCTTACAATGATCTGAAATTATTGCAAATATTTTAACTTTGCTGGGTTTCTTGAACATTTTTGATGCAAGCGTATGAAATTTTGAACCCTTTCACTGAGCCTTTGAATGTGCTTGTGGTGCGAATATATTGCTTTACTTGTCCTTTGATTTTACAAAAATATTTCCAGCGTTATTCATGAATTTTTCGAATTTTTCAGATTCAAGGATCTTAGGTAATATTTTCATTGTTTCGCTAAGCAATAATTTGGAGCCTTCAAATCTCTACTTTTATGCTTTTCACTCCAAGTTGATGAGTATTGCCTAAGAATTTGATTATGTTCAAATTCATGCCCAAGTCATATTTCGTCGCAAATTTACCCCTCTGTTTATGAAGTTTTAAGACTTAAAACATTAAATTTTTTTTTGCTGAACGCAGATATGGATTCGCATCTCTTTTATTTCTACATATCTTGGACTGCTTCAAATTTGTTCAATGGTTTAACTATGGCTTTTTTCATGAACTGTCAAATATTTTGTTGGTCAAAAAATTGCTGTGATAGCATCTTGTCAGCACTTAGCTGGCAGTTTCGATAAAATTAAACTAACGACCGACCTTGTCGCTGTTTTATGTTTTCGAATCATGATGCGCACTTGCTTTGACTTCTTTTATGCGCTACATATCGCATGATCTTATTTGCAAGACGTAAAAGCGCTTCGCTGCACAGATTTAATTTTGCAGATCGCTAATCGAAATTTACAAACCAGTTTCTGTGGGTTCGTCAAGGGACTCTTGGTGAATATTTACACAATTTTGAACCCGAACCCAAGAAAGTAAGGAAGAGAAATGTACAATGACTTGTTTTCATTTATTTGATTGGAAGTATCGTTATTGATTAGAATAAGCAAAATTTTATACTAGATTCTCTTATCCAGTTCCATTTATTATATCTGAACTTAAGTCTCGTTAAAACTTTTCTCATCTTATGGAAAGCTCTAGAAACAGCAAAGTCTCATACATATGGTATAAGAGGAGCGAACTTTTCGTTCCTTCAACATCCATCTCTTTACCTTGTAAAATTTCTCATTTTCCATTGCCATTTTTTGGTTTTTGTGGAGTTTCGCAAGCTTCAGTGCTGAACATAAAGACAGTTTAAAGGATGCTAATCTTTTGGAAATAGTTTGAAAATTGCTACTAAATTTTTTGCTCGATTTTTTTTTCCATTGGCATGATATATTAAAAGTTACGAGGCTTCAATTCGAAATAGAAAAATCCTCTTCAGGGATTTGGATATTTTATCCCATATTTTATTTTCGCTAAATTGTTCAAATTTTCACTTTCACTATTTGATTACAAGTGTCCAATAAAAGAAGAGTATATTCTTTGAGATATCTTTTTTAGGCAAGGGACATACCTCACGCGATTTCAGTTGCCACTCGATCTGGCAATTTGCCATATGTCTTCAAAGTCAATACTGGAAGACCTCAAATGCACATATATAACTTTCGTAGGTTGATAAAATGCCCCCTCTTACGTATAATCAGAAACCCCGTAGGATGAGTTATGAACATTTGGAGTATTGCCAAATCGCGTTTCGACTGAAATCGCGTGAGGTATGCCCGAGGTCTTATGGGAAAGTTGAAACAGTGAACAAATAAGTATATGCACAAAGTTGATTCTATTCCAAGAGAAAGAAAAAAAGCTTCTGGAATAATATTATTTCACTTTTTTAAACTAAAACTTCATTTCTTTTCATTTGATTCTTGTTTCCCTCAAAATAAAATTCTATAAGTTTCAAATGAGTTTTCATTTCTCTTCAGACCATTTTCGAGGTCAGTGTATATAAAAAAGTGAAATGTAGTTTTATGAGACACAGTGAGTGGATTGCAGTTCTTGTAGATAGTGAGACGTAAAAGAACTGTGACTTTGTGAGACTTTATTTCTAAGGGTTTTGAATACCTAGGGTAAATTGGATTTCGTTCCGAACTTGCAATGTAATCAATTCAATTTAATCTCATCTTCAATTCGAGCAAGGCCTCAACGCTTTACTCAGGAACTCTTAGCTATTAGAGGATAATTACCGTATTCTTACAGTTCGGGAAGACGACTGTGTAAAGCACTACCGTATTCGACAACTGGACCAAGGCGGTTACTTCATCGCTAGGCGACGGCCATTTAGTACCCTACAAGATCTCATTACTCACTATACTAACGACGCAGATGGACTTTGCGTACAACTGACACAACCATGTGCAAAATCGGACGCACCGCAGACTTCCACATTCACATATGGTAATTTCCGAGCCAGTTCCATATAGGACAAGGCAATTTGGTGCGAATGATCATGATATCCACGATTTTTTTTGCAGACGATCAATGGGAAATTGATCGCCGCTCGATTCTCTTCATCAAACAAATCGGCGCCGGTCAATTCGGCGAGGTCAGTTTCATTCACTCTCTCATGGGAGGGGGGGTATAAATAACAAACACCTCTCAAAGCGCCGCTACGTTCTCACCAGCCAAAGCCTTTAAATCCGAGGGGTGTGTCCGCGGCGACACTTTCCCAGAGTTTCAAAAACGAGACGAATTGAGGTCACGACAATCCGTGCGCTGCCACTCCTTGCAGCTGGTTGTACATCATCATTCTCGCGCCAAGGTCGCGACTGATAGATTCAGTCGCATGAGAAATGAATGGGCTAAAAAGCAGAATGTGTTTTCAGCATATTTTTTGCGTTGAGAATTACCAGAGAATTAGGTCAATTTACCCCCACTACCACACGTAAAATGACATAATAATGCCGTTAGTGAAATGTGTTATGGTGCTTGAACATGGGGACCAGGTTTTGATTAGCTTACGTGGGACTTGAGAGGGGTGGGTAAGTGAGGGTCTTGAGAGCAACGTAAAAAAGGTAGGCAGTTCTCTTGCAAAAAACGGACCCCTTAAAATTTTTCCGAAGTGATGAATATGATGGAATACAATAGGTAGATCTCTGCAAAAGGTTAGCTCTGCCCCCGCCCCCTCCCCCTCCAGTTCCCGGTGGGAAGCTTGGAAGCATTCTAAGTATTTTTTAAGAAAATTTACAACCAACAGCGACAGTAACTTTTGGTAAAAAGCAGTTGTAGAACAATTTTCCCCTTTTCCCAAAACTGAGTGGAAAAATTTTGATTTTCAAAATATAAAAATGGATAGCAGAATTCGTACATTATCTCAATAGTAAAGCAAAATTTTCAAAATTTTTTGTACCTTTTTCATGAGTCTCAGAATGTCTTTTATAATTTTTTTTACTTCACAACTAGCTTGTCTCTAACAATATCTTATCAATTTTTTACAAATAAATAGTAGTGGTTTTTATGATCTCACGATTCATATGTAAATTCCAAAAAATTCCCTGACAAATTCGCCCCTTTACCCCTTCCTCCGTCTTACACTAATCAATATTTAACTAATTGTTAACGGACAAACTATGATAATTCTTCGCCAAGTTATCCGAAATTTAGTCCAAATTCTGGAGAACTGGATACTGCCAGCTCAGAATAATTTCACAACAGGATACAAAGGTCATACATCTTCCGACTTCCGATTGACCTATCACATTTCCAAAGGTTTCAAAGATCTCTCAAAAACTCTTTAGCTCGCGATGATTGCATTTGGTTACAGATCATTGCGATTGTCGAATGCCCTTCAGGTAGCCTAAATTCCTTCGCGAACCAAAAAAGAAACATGGGAAGGTCTTCTGACTCATGGGAAAAGGGTAACATCAGTTATGAGAAGGACGACACTAGTGCTTACTAGACTTCTGAGAAAATTAAGGGGGGACAAAAATATAAAAATACTTGAGAAATTTTTACTGCATTAACTTTTAAAAAAGGAGATTTCGAGGGAACTTTATGGCCACACATTTACGCAAAAAATTTCTGTCTCAAACATTTTACCCTCCTCAAGAAGTAAAAAGGTTAGAACGCAAACAAAAACTCTAGAGATGTGGGGGATGTCGAAATTACTGACAATTTTCAATCTAAGCCCCTCCTCCTTCTTTCCTTTCCTTCCCCATTTTCCTCAGTCAAATTCCACTTTTCTAAAAGTTTCAGATGATCTGCGAGTTTATGGTAAAAATAGCATGCAAATATGTATTTGACAATTAGAAAAGGGGGAAAGGAGATTGCCTAAGAAGAAAATGTTTTTCTCTGCAAGTCACTTTATTCTGTAACAAGTGCAATGCTGCTCTCAACCCGTTGAGTAAAAGCCAATCAAGTTATTCGGTGAAGCCACCTCATTAATAGTGGCTCCATAGAAAAAAAGCTTCTTAACCGCTATCCTACTATGAACCGGTTGCTGAACAACGAATAACAATGTGTACCCAGCATTACCTAATGACACTGTTTTTATACGAGTTACTCAGTGCTGTTTGGCTCTTGAGTTTTTTGCAGGTCACTATTTTAAACATTCCTTTGAAGTTTTGACCATGATTTACTATTATAGGTATGGGAAGGACGATGGAACAGTACCGTTCCAGTGGCTGTGAAGAAGTTAAAATCTGGCACAGCAGATCCTGTGGATTTCCTGGCTGAGGCTCAAATTATGAAAAAATTAAGGTGAGAATAGAATCAAGTTTTCATTGAATGAAAACCGATTGAAATTTGTGAATATGGAAGGAGTGAATGATAAAATTATCGAATGAATGGATCGTGACAGATATAAATGGTTGGGTGGATATAAAAAAATTAAAAACTGAAAATCTATATGACCCCGGTTCTTTAATGAGAGCGAGGATGAAAGATATCATCATTACACTCTTCTTTTTATATCTTATTGGGTCTAAAATCAAACACTTGCCGTGGAGCGATTTGAAGAGGGATGGAAATAAATGAGTGACTAGGATAGGGAAGGAAGAAGTGATATGAATGAATGAGTGACGATGAAATGAGTGGATAAGAACCTTAAGACGGGGTAAAGAGATGAGAAAGAAACTGAAAAGAATGAATGGTGGATGAACAAGTAACGATATGCAAACGGAAAACTAAACAAAGACGGAATCAAGAAGAAACATTATGTAGTTGCCTGAATGAATAAATGATTGAATGAATATATGTGAATGAATAAGTAAATGTGAATGAATGAATGAAAGAAATAAGTGATGAAGAATGGACGAATGAATGATCCAGGAATGATATCCACGAAAGTCCATTTAAAAATGGGCTTTTCGCGAATGAAACGCGAATAAAATAGGCTTAATCCCTGCGGTGCGATAAGATATCGCGTTCGCGAATCCATTCATTCCATACAAAAATGCTTCAGCAAACCTTTCTTCAACTTGCCTCAACCTGTTTACTCACTCTTGCAAACTCATTCCCACCAAGTGGTCGATATCTAGGCTGATCTAACTTTACTATATCAGTCACGTGGATACTCCGTTCTTTTCCATTTCATTACACCTCATAGAATGCCAATTATTAACTATGACTATGCATCTAACGTTTCAGTCCATCTAAAATCCAAGTAATATCAGGGCATTCGCTCTTCAAAACTTCTATGAATCTGCATTGAATCAAATTCGTATGTGGAGTTTCCAGCAGAAAGCAAACTTTGGCTAGACTTGCATTGCAATTTGTGAATTAAAATGCTTATCTCACATAAAACTTTGTACTACACTACAACACAAAGGCTTTTGAGCTGGAAAACTTTGGATCTGCAAAAAAATTGATGGCTTCTCATGCTGTACGTTAGCAACCCCAAAACTTTCATGCAAATATGGCGTTTGATATATGAAGCTGTTTTTCTTGTATCAACTGTGTGAGTTTGAGAGGTGGATACTAGAATGATGACAAAGTCACTGAATTCAATTTTGCGTCTAGACCTTATCTAGGCATATACTCTGATCCCAAGTCATATGTGCTTTTGATGATCAAAGTTGCTTAGGGAAAGTGCTACGAACAACTGAAGCAAAGCGAACTTATATCCGTCTCAGCATATAGGGAATGCTTGAACCAATGCTTTTTGCTATTGGCAACCTTGTTATAGATTTTGAACAGAATTCAAATTAACCGGTTGTTGGAAAAGCTCTCGCATAATCCAGTATCAATCAGGTAACCGTTTTGGGTATTGAAAAGTGTTTTCGGTGACAAAATGACGTATCGAGAAGATTTTCTCTATAAAATGACTTGTTTAATTTTGGTAAATCGCGATTTTTTTATATTTCCATACGAGAACAAGAAGTGACTAATGTACAGACTATAGCTAGTAAGAAATTTTTCACAGAATTTTTGACTTGCTAGTGGTACTTCAGTACTTCTTGCTACCAAACTCAAAATCGCGAATTTTGAACTGCCGTCTTTGTGTCTGTCTGTCTGTCTGTCTGTCTGTCTCAACTGTCTACGAAAAAAAATTTTCCATGATTTTCAAAGCATTTCAAGGCTGTTTGGAGAAGATAGTTTTTTGGCCCTCCTAAAGAAGATAAAACTTTCTCCGTTCGCTTACTATCTTAAAATGGGCTAGGGAACATATTCTCAAAAATTCGCAATCAAAAATATGCAAGAAGGTCAAAAATGGGCTTAGTCCCAGCACATCTGGCTGCTGGGAGTAAAATGGGCTTATCAGAAAGGTGAGAGAGAATGAACATGGAGGTGAACTCCATTTTGCCCCATTCTAAAATGGACTTTTGACGTCATCTTCCGCGAGCGATAGCTCTAGTAAGCTTAAATCATTTTCATTTCACCGCTTTGCCTCGCGGTTGCGATGGGATGAAAAATTTTGGATATCGTAAGCGGGAGCCGATTTCGACCACTTTTTAACGCGAACGAATAAAATGGACTAAGTAAGTCCATTTTCCTCCATTATGGACTTTCGTGGATATGAGTCCAGGAATGAAAATGAGGATGAAGTGATCATAAAGCGTAAGAGAGAATTCGGAATGGGAGCGAGAATAACGATGAAACCTAATGCAAATGCTGCTTGGAAAGAAAAGAACGGATTATGTGAATGAAAGAAAAGGAGGAATTTATATGAGAATGTTTTCATCTTTATTACTCATTCATTTCGTTTCCGTTCTCATTCTTAAAATCGTAACCACTCTCGTTAATCGCATTTTTAATCCGTTTGCTCATTCATTCAATCGTTCATCCATAAAAAAAGAAAGGAAAATTGTATGGATAATCAAACGGATCGAATCTCCAATCGTTTAGGCATCCCAAGTTGCTTACCCTATACGCTGTTTGCACAAAGGATCAGCCAATATTGATAGTGACCGAGCTAATGCAAGAGAATCTTCTCAGCTTCCTCCATGGTAAAGGTCGGCAATGTACCCTACCCCAACTGGTAGAAATTGCTGCGCAGGTTGGTTCCACATTCTACTACCGTAATCCCTAATTCTCAAGTCCCCACTCTGCAGGTAGCCGCAGGAATGGCGTACCTCGAAGAGATGAAATTTATACATCGAGATTTAGCCGCCCGTAATATTCTGACAAAGAATAACCTTAATGTGAAAATAGCCGATTTCGGACTGGCGCGATTATTGCATCAAGAGAACCAGTACGAGGCACGAGTCGGGGCAAGGTTCCCGATTAAGGTTAGTTCCCGTTTGTTTACGGTAACAGTGCTAATGTTTTTTCTGCAAATTGTCTTTCGGCAAAGAAAATAGCATTAGCCAGAACCGGGAAAACAGGGATTATTGTCGTTAGGAGCTTGAGAGAATGGCTTGAAGGTTTGGACTGGTATTTTTGAATAACCAGTAATAATGCTGCGGGAGTGTTTCAATTTTTTATTCCAAATTAATCCCTCTCAACTTCCAAAAATTTTGCTAACTTATTCAAATTTACAGAGCTTTTGAATGTCCAAAAACCAAAGCTTGGAAAAAGATTCTTGTGGTGGGTTGATGCCAGTTTCTTTTGGAAAATACAAATTAGTGTGTTTTCTCCCCCCCCCCCCCCCAGAAAAAAACGGTACTACTGCCACATATGGACATGAAGTACGTCTTAGAAGACTTGTTAGGTCTATGTGACAATTTACGATAGCCTTTGTTTATTATTTCCTCAAAATCGCTTGAATTAGTCATGCAAGCAATAAATAATCTCTCTATTTTCTGTCGCACTTTGTTTTTTTATTTCACCGGCTATAATTAGCACTTTTGAAGGGGAAAGTGGAGTGGATGGAAGATTGGACTAGCTGCTTTGCTTCATTTTCTTCTCAATAGCGGCAAAAGCTTCATTGAGAAAACGACCCAAAGAACTTTCAAAGCATCAAAAAAGTCGAAAAAGTTTTTTGGGTTACTCACTTTTGTTGTAAAGATTTGTAAATCGTTTCTAAGATAGGTAAGGAGTTATTCGTTATTCTTCTAAATTATTGTATAGAAAACTGCTTTATCTATAACTAAACTGTGGCTGATCCTCCACAGAATTAAGAAGATATTAGTAATCAACAACTCATTTAGTGGACGGCACCAGAAGCTGCGAATTTCAACAAATTCACATCAAAATCTGATGTTTGGAGCTTTGGCATTCTGCTTACAGAAATAACCACCTATGGGAGGACACCTTATCCAGGTTAGTCTTGGTGATTTGTAATCGTCAATCGTTTTATTGCGCAGTAAGTGTTCAAAATCCTGACCATATCGAAAATAAGTAAAGGCGATTCATTGCACGCACAGACTAGGCTTCACTGCGGACACTGTCGGCGTCTCTTTAAAAGTGTGCTCTTTCATTCCTCTTGCTGTCTGCTGTCTCTTTCGTGCCCAAACTATCTTGATCGGGCGCAGGGGAGTCCAGTCTTTGACAGTAGAGTTCTTTTCACTATGCACGATTTTTTCTTTTGTTTACTGCAAAAGGAAATTACAATTTATTTTGAATTAAGAATTTGTTGAATCCGATGAGCACTCTTTAGGCATGTCAAATGCAGAAGTTCTGCAACAAGTAGACGCAGGCTACCGTATGCCGTGTCCGCCCGTGTGCCCTTTGGAATTGTACGAACTGATGTGCCAGTGTTGGAAAGCTGATCCAGAAAAACGGCCTACATTCGAGACCTTGCAGTGGCGACTGGAGGATCTGTTCAACCTAGATGCATCCGATTATAGAGAAGCTGGCTCATCGTAGAGTCAATATACACAGCATTCCATTTTCAAGAACTTCGCATCGTTGGAAAATAATTGCGCGACTTTATTGCGCCCGTTCTTGTTAGGTGAATTCCAATGGTTTACCTGAATAGCGCTTCCAAAAATCTTTAAAACTATAATTTTCCATGACTAGGGTCCTATCGTGATGATTGTTCACTTTGTGCATTTTTACGAGTATCTCAGGCATTATTGAAGCTAAGGCGCTCAATCAGCGCTTTCATATTCACTAGTCACTTGTTTCATTCATCGACTATTACTTTTAACTAATAAATTTCTTATCATTTTTTACCCTATTGGAAAAAAAAGAAACATTTAAGAGTTGTTTTATCAATGTATTGTAACGCATACTATAAAATTCGCAAATTTCTGCATCTGATAGGATCTTGATACTCCATAGAATGACTCCTCTCCTCAATTAAAGTCTCTCCTCTCTTAGCAGGAACTATTAGCTACGACGAGCCTTAGGGTGTATCAATTGCAGTGTCGGGTGCACCAGCATCTCCGCTCGCGGGCGGTCTCTGCACCTCTTCCGCGAACATGCTCGCCAATCATTTGCAATCAATTAAGGCTCCGCCTTTCCCATGCTCGCGGTGAGAAAGTGATCAGAGAGTATGCTCGCGGAAGAGGTGCAGAGTCACGGCCGCGCGGGAACGGAGAGCTGGTGCACCTGACAGTGCAGTTGATAAGGTAACTTGTGTTCATAACTCAAATACTCAGACTCAACAAATTTTATAATTCATTTTGCGACTATGCTGCAAATCTTCTTTAAATTAACCGGGAAATTTTTTTCATAAGCTTGCTTTTTCCTGCAAGCAAAGAAAACGATATACAAATGAGAAAATCTTATTCTAGTTATGATCATTACTTAAGTAACGTATGATAATGCCTACTCAAAGGCAGTGGCTCAGCAATACAGTGCTGGCCATAGCTATAAAGCCACCCCAAAAACCACTGTGATTTGCTCTCTCTTGCTCAAAATTGTCTAAAAAACCACTATTATGTGTGCAAACCAACGTCATATCATTGACCAGAACGGCTCCCGATTTCATTCGATTTGGCCGGAGAAAAACCGAAAAATTTGAAAAAAGGCGTTTTCAAGGTTGGTCACAGCTATAAAGCCACCTCTCATTTCCAATCGGTACTAGGTTTTTGAGGCTGAAATTTTTTGTACATACAATATCAAGATATAAAACATTTGCCACACTTGGAAGCAGTCGCCTTTCAAAAAAAAAGATTCATTCTGCATTTTCTGCTTCAAAATGTGTAAAAAGTTATAATGTTTGGAAAAACTACCTTTTCACCGAATTCTCAAGCATTTGTTTGACTCGAATGAAGGTCATAGGTTTCGCCAAGCCTTTGCAATGATTATTTTAAAAAGAGCAGGAGTCAACATATCGCAGTCGCTGATATTGATAAACGAGCCCCAACCTCACCTTTAGGTCGACGAGTTTTCGAACTGCAGAAATTGAGTTCTAATGCCCGAAAAACTCTGTCACGTGCTCAGCACGTCGTCTGTACAATGATAGACTTGTGCGCATAGCTTGAACGTCATCGCAACTCTCAGGATTTTGGTTCCGCCTCAAACGCCTTTTTTCCAAAAATGAGTGGTGCACTCTGCCTAATTGTGACACACTCTAACCTCTCGATCGAGCCGAAAACAGCTCAAAACTTCAAAATTCTAGTATTTCTGACAGTTTTGTAAGATTTGACTTGAAGAAGAGATCAAAGCAGTAAAATTTGAAGTCATATGAGATACACCGCAACCGAACTGCAGACAAGGCGTTCTAAATTCAATGCGTCTTTGTAAAAAGCCTGACAGCTTCTTCATGAGTACGTCATCATGCAAACAAGGTGTCAACTTCCAACCGAAAATTTTCGCGCATCAGAAATCGAGATTTGCGTTTCAGAAGTGCGTTTACACATAGGTAAGATTGAGCTTTGTTCATCAATACCAGCGACTACGCCATGTTGAATCCTGCGCTTTTTACCATACTCATTGCAAAGGCTCGGCGAAGCCTAGAACCTTCATTCGAGTCAAACAAATGCTTGAGAATTCGGTGAAAAGGCAGTTTTTCCAAAGATTATAACTTTTTATACATTTTAAAGCAGAAAATGCAGGATGAATCTTTTTTTTTTTGAAAAGGCGACTGCTTCCAAGTGTGGTAAATGTTTTATATTTTGATATTGTATATGTACAAAAATTTCAGACTCAAAAAACGTAGTACTGATTGGAAAGGAGAGGTGGCTTTATAGCTGTGACCAGCCTTGGGAACGTCTTTTTTCAAATTTTTCAATTTTTCTCCGGCCAAATCGAATGAAATCGGGAGCCGTTTTGGTCAATGATATGACGTTGGTTTGCACACAGAATAGTGGTTTTGATTACAGTGATTTTTAGGGTGGCTTTATAGCTATGGCCAGCACTGTAGTGGACATACTGAATTTTTATTTGTTAGGTAGCTTAGCTCCCAGATATAAAATCGACCAAGTCCAATCGCACGTCTCTGCCAAGCCTGTCTCAAACCCAAGCGCGTAAGCCATTCTTACTCGCGTTCGGACGCTCGGAGCTCGGCTTCAATGACGCAAAAAATGCTTCATTCGTCCATATTCAAACTGGAGGCACTCAGTAACTGCTATGTTTCGCCATCCTCGCGCTTTTCAAGGTGGATTTATGGGATCAGCACATCAGATAGCCCAGTCAAGCGAGCAATTTTTAGGTCGTAACGATTAATAAAGCATTTCGATACCTAAACCATGTAGGAAAAGCTTGATCAGTTTCTTAACAAGGGATGTACTATCAATTGCCGTGGCCTTTTGGTATGAGATGCATATCATGAAGCAGCTTCAAACGCTGATTTTAAATCTGCTTTCCTTTTCTGCGGAGCGCCCTTCTGAAGAAAGTTATGGAAGCCTGAAAATCATAATTTGGGGGCGCTCTTTGTTTATAAGAGCGGTGCTATGTGCGTCGGTGGTGCAGTGGTGTAATGGTTAGTTGTTGGCATTGGAAGCGAAAGGTCCGTGGTTCGAATCCGGTGCGGAACGAGCCATTTTGCACTTCGCATGTGAGTTTAACAATCACTCTAATTCGTCTGCAGTCACTTACTGTAATATCCTTGGCAAATATGATCTAAAGGAAAAATTTTCTGGCATATCTGCTTGTAATGAGGCCCCGAAACTCTACCTGACTTCATTACCAGTAAAGTAGGAATGAACATAGTGAAGCATGTTCACCACCATGTAAAGCTGAAGGAATGCACACTATCAATAATCGAGAAGATGTTCTTTCCTGCCTTTAATTGGGTACTTGCGAGCATGAGAATTGCGTGGAGTTTTTCTTCATATGCTCTTCCCGTTGTGAGAAATGTCTGTGTTTTGCCCACTCTGTAATTTCGCTTCACCTCTGTACATGTTTTTTGCTGAGAAAACACAAGCAAGCGGTTTCGCCACAAAATTTTTCCCTTAGTTCACATTTGCCAGAACTGCAGACGAATTAGAGTGGTTTTTATACTCACGTCCAAAGTGCAAAATGGCTCGCTCTGCACCGGATTCGAACCACCGACCTTTCGCCTTCAATGCCAACAACTAACCATTACACCACTGCACCAGCGACGCACATAGCACCGCTCTCAAACTCAAAAAGCGCCCTCAAATTGGGAATTTCAGGCTTCCATAACTCCCTTCACAAGGGCGCTCCGCAGAAGAGGAAAGCAGATTTAAAATCAGCGTTCGTAGCTGCTTCAGATGATATGCATCTCACATCAAAAGGCCACCGCCATTGAAAGTACTTCCCTCGTAAGACTAAATCAATATTTGAGCTTATGAAAAATCTTCCTTAGCGCGACGAAAGTGTGCAGTGGAGAGAATATAGAGATCGAAGAGCGACTGTCGCGCATGCCGCATGCGATCAACGATCTGCTTCTTAACTTGCCTTTACTTTTCTCAATAGAAAACTCATACAAGAAACATAATCCCAAAGCACAGGGCTAACATAGAGCATTCTTACCATTGTACATCCATGGGGGGAATCTCAAGTATGTGTAATCGCGACGATAGTTTCTATTATTAGCTTAACCTGTTGCTTTTCCTGCCATTTAAGTTTTGCTATGTTTGTTTGTTAAAAAATAGCGTTTTCCATCGGCTCACTTAGTAAACGTAGCGCCTGGAAGCGGCTTACTTGACGTTAGAGGACACAGTGGAATAACATCATGTGGGAATCATGGATGACTAACGGCGGCGAATGGGCATGCGGTAGGAAGGAGGCTTCAGCCGCTCAGTGACCGGACGACTCTTAAAAGAATTTCCCTTCTTCAGCTGTGCTTCATTGATCACCGCTAAATTGGTGACTCTAATATCACACCTTAGATTTCCAATCTTATACCGTTTCCGATCTCTTACACCTCTCCCATTTACCTACACACCTGTCCTCGCACTCAGTCGGGAGTCGCAGTGATCAGAATATGACATAAGGGCAAAGATAAGAAATTATACAGTTGTTGAGGTGGAAGGTACGTGCTTAGTTGCGCGGCCTGGATGACTGACTGTCGATCATCGGCCCAACGAATTATGGTCGTCCAAGAGTTGATTTTCCCCAAAGATGCCATGTGTCCAGGAGGAGCATGCTGTGGCGCGCGGAGCAGTGCTGTGTTTCATTTACGGTCGTCCAAGATTCAGTTGACTCAGGGTCTATGTCGGTGCGTGTCGTGAAGAGGACGACAATATCTTTTTCTCGACCTTGAATGGAGTCAACGGTGGTAACCCCGACGTGGTTCTCTTTAATCTAAAATGACAAGCGACGAAGCTTTGTAGAAACTGAGAATGCAAAGGGAGTGGGGTTGGATGTGGCGAGCGCGTAAGCGCTCAATGATAGCTCGATAGACTTCGGCGTCGTTGTAGTAAGAGCGACTCGCGGCACGTTCCGCATTTACGGCTACGTCGGCCATCAATAACGGGGTGCGGCCATTTGGTACTCACATGATATTCAGT